TTCATTACCCAAAATTGGCAGAGAACACATCACAGAGCAAGGCTGTATCCAGCTCTTGAGTGGATGACTTATCAGGCTGAGGCCGCCACCGATGATGCCAGCCATGAAGACCCAGAAAAGGCCGCCCCATCTGAACATGTGCGGGGCTGTGCAGAGGCACAAGCGTCGACGATCTGGGGAATGTTCGGGACGGTGCTGCCCCGTCTCCAAAAAACCTCAAACCCATGAAGGCCGCAAGTAAGACTCGAAGGCAGGGCACCTTCCCAGATCCATATAGCCGTAGGAGGTACCACTACCGCTGAGCACCTGGCCATTCGCTGGCTGTGTGGTCTGTCCAAGAACTTGAACTGATCAGGCTTCAGGGCATGGGGTTTCGAGCTTCCTCCCGGTTCTTAGTAGGGACTGAGGGAATTAGGGCCCCCTAAACCCTAAACCCTAAACCCTAAACCCTAAACCCCTCATGGGATTATAAAGGGTACCTCATGCCCTCATTTCCTTCTAAGAACCGGCCAGGCTTTGGGGGGGCCCTGCAGGAAGAGACTCAGAAGACTTCCTGTAGACTGAAACCCTAAACCCTAAACCCTAAACCCTAAACCCTAAAGACTTCAAGGCATTCGGGTTCAGAAGGCGTTCGGAAGGGCTTCATGGATAGAAAATGCCGCTGCTCGGCCGCACCTTGGAGCTGCAAGGCAAATAACTCAGTCTAAGGTTTAGGGTTTAGGGTTTAGGGTTTTGGGTTTAGGGTTTAGGGTTTGGGGTTTAGGGTTTAGGCTCTCGCTTGATTCCACTATAGAGAAGCCTGAGCCCCCAAACCCTTTGAAGTGACACCCTAGCCATGGGATGTTCCCCCTTATACGAACAGTCCTGAATAGGGATGATACGAGGGGGTACTTTAATCCCTGCGAAGGGCTGTTAGTATAGGGGGGGAACCTTAACCCGTGATGCATGAACTTTGAGAAAAGGTGCACAGAGTGATGGGAGTTCGCCTTTCAAGGGCTATCTGCCGGCGGGTGAAGGAATTTTCATGCATACGCGTGCACGAATAGCCGAATAGCACTTGTGGGGGTACGAACGCACGGTTCGTTTCACTATGAATCACCCCCCCCCCCCCCCCCCCCCCCCCCCAAACCAAAGGCCTTCCAACCCCAAGCCCTTAAGCCTAACACCCTCCTCCCCACAATAAAACCACGAGGCTGAGGTGTGCGCAAACCAGACCACCAGTGCACCCATGCTGAGTGTCGGCAGTGTGGTCGTGCTGTTTTCCTAAGTGGAGTTGAAGGGTTGGGGATGCTCGGGGTTTAGGGTTTCAGGCTTTGGGTGCTTTGTAGGCGACACGCACTTCAGCTTCTTCAGGAGGGCCAAGAGGCAAACCACTCGACGTCAGGTTGTGAAGGTGTCGTACGTTTCTTTCAGGTGGCTTGATGGTAAGTCCTAATTCAGCCTCAAACCATCTTGACCCGTTGCGCCATGGTCTCTTTTTCAAGCATCAGACCTAAGCTCCACGCTACGACCGTGCTGCTGTAGTAGAACCTGGAGCGATCACCCCCAACACCCACAGACGGGGCAGGGGTTCGGGCTTCCGTAAGGTTCCCTAGGCACCTACCCCCATGAGCCTCCCCCCTCCCTTAGGGACCCGATAAGTCAGGGTCGAAATGCGGATTTGGGGGGGGCAATTGCATTCAAGGATATTCAGGGTTCCTTCGCTTGTCCTCCATGGTGGGCCTTGGCTGGGTGCTTACAGTATCTGAGCCTCACATGTTGTGGTCCTAGAAAAAACCGGTTAGCGTAGCAAGTGGCAAGAGCTGAATCGTTCTGTACTGTCCTCCTTTACTTTCCCTTTCGGCCTGCCCGCCTGCCTGCAGGTAGCTACAATTGTACGAATATTCGGCGCGCTGGTTTCTGATGGGCCTTTTCAAAACGCAACGCGGCATCCAGAATGACGCTGCAACTCACGTTGCTCGACTGCGGCACATGCTCTGAGTGGGCGGCAGGTGGCAAGTAAACTCGCAACCGTAGAAGAACAGCAAACAGCAGCCTGACATTCTAAACTCTGAACTAGCTAATTCCTTTATCGCCATATACCTCTACTATAACAACCCCCGCAACCCTGCTCTAATGATTCAGGCAGCTATACTACTGAAGAGTGGCGGTTGGCGGCTGCAGAAGAATCGTGCCATAGCCATCGCTTCACTCACAGCCTTCAACTCCGAAAGCCACATCAAGCCTATAAAGACGAAGCTCTAGTAAGAATCCCGGCAACCTCCTGAAACCTGAAGGACTGCAGGGGTTTAGGGTTTACATGTCAGGTTCCCAAACACAACTCAGCCACAGAGGCTGCTCTGCGCCCCGATCCTCCTAACCGACCCTCAAGGATCCTCGAAATATTCTTAAGCAGAAAACGCTCCAAACCGTGCGCCCTCGAGCACCGAAAAAGCGGCAAGCGCTTCCCAAACCACAAGGCCTTCCTCCTTGGAACCCCCCCCCCCTTAAAACACGAGAGCCAACTTGAAATCGAACAGATGTTCAAGCACCCTAAACCCTAAAGCCCTGAAAGCCTAACGCTCTCAACCCTAAACCCTAAAACCTAAAACCCTAAGCCTTAAACAGTAAACCCTAAGCTCAACCCGAAGTGAAAGGGTGTTGGGGCTCCCTGAATTTCACGAATTTCCCAGACCCTAAACTCTAAACCCTAGCCCTAAACCCTAAACCCCAAACCCTAAACCCCAAACCCTAAACCCCAAACCCTAAACCCTAAACCCTAAACCCCAAATCCTAAACCACTTGGCATCCGGGAGCCTGCAAGGACGGTCCAGCCGCAAATCAGCTGACAAAGGAGGCCGGTGGACTGGGGCGCATCTTGCTTTTGGGTTTAGGGTCTATAGGGTTTAGGGTTTAGGGTTTAGGGTTTAGGGTTTAGGGTTTAGGGTTTAGGGTTTAGGGTTTAGGGTTTAGGGTTTAGGGTTTAGGGCTACTTGGAGGTTCGTGGGTAGTTTTAAGCGGGTTATAAGTAGGGTGCCTGTAATTGTAATTGGTTGGGTTAGAGCCTTATTCGGGGTTATTTACCTACCCAGGAAACCTTCAACTGGGAGTTGCTTGAAGGCTCATGGGTGGTAGTAGGCTGATACAAGTACCCCCTAACTATAGGGTTGTAACTATAGAGTTACCCATCTTATTATAACCCTACCTCAAACTACCATGAACCTCGGCCTAGGGAGTTTCCTAAGGGAAGGGTTTTGTGGGGGTCTCGCGTTCGATGGATGAATTGGCGTTCAGGGTTAAGGAGGCCCTAAACCCTAAACCCTAAACCCTACACCCTAAACCCTGGGCCTAAACCCTAAACCCTGGGCCTAAACCCTAAACCCTAAACCCTAAAGTCAGAGCCCAGGCCTGCGCAACCAGGGACAGGGCGAACCACTGCACGGGAAGCTTCGGACCTCGGCCGGCCGGCTGAACAGGAGATGAACCCAAAAAGGACAGGGTTTAGGGTCTAGGGTCTAGGGTCTAGGGTCTAGGGTCTAGGGTCTAGGGTCTAGGGTTTAGGGTTTAGGGTTTAGGGCTCAGGGTTTAGGGCTTAGGGTTTAGGGTTTATGGGACCCCAAATACAACCCAAAATAAGAGGATCCCCTTCCAATCAGGACCCCGACAAAGTACGCACCCCATTTCGGAAACCCCCTCATCTGGCCATGCTAAACAACGCCTGAGCCTTGAAAGGAGCAGTTTGAGATCAGGTCTGCTGTGTGTAATCCCCAAACACGACATTGCACCCTGGCACAACCAGAGTTCGCATCTTCTTGGGATGTACTCTCCGCGTCGAAAGACTGCCCTGCCTCCCTTGAAAGCCCTTCAAAGGACAATGCCTCCGTTACTCGGCCTTCAGGGTTTCAAGCGGCGCGGGGAAGTCGGTGCAAAGCAACATTCTTCAGGAGGCGAGAGGCCGCACGGGCCGTACATGGAACCCACCAGACTCAAAGCACTCTCTCTCTCGCTCTCTTCTTCCTCTCTGGCTCTCTGGCTGCTCTCTGGCTGCTCTCTCGCTCCTCCTCTCTCTTTCTCCGCCCTCGGACTCGATTTTTTGGACAACGTCGGTGCATGCCGGCGGCAGGTTCGCTGAGTCAGTCCAATAGGGGAGCCACTCAGAGCCACCTTGATTGGCCAATGAAATTACCTCGATAGGGTTATTGGCTCTGGGGTGTTTAGGGTTTCAGAGATTTCGGGTAGGTTAAGGGTTCTAGGGTTTAGGGTTTAGGATTTTAGGGTTCAGGGTTCAGGTTTAAAATGGAATTTTCAACCGCGCGCAACCCAGACAGGAGGCTGGGGTGCTGCCTCCGGCCCGGGATACCAAGATGCGCATACAGACGCTCGAAGCCAGAAGAGGCGTCGCAAGGACGACCAGTGCCAATGAATGGCATGAGCCCTTAACTGATCTTGGAACCCTAGCAAAAGTTAGAATTGTAGGTGTTTCTTAGAAATTATGGTACCCCAAAATGGAAAAACCGTATCCCTAAGAAACAGTGATCAAGAGCAGCTCGCTGGCCACCTGGAACACCGAAGTGAACACCCTGTGTCTGCGAAACAGATCATGCACTCTTGAATTTGCACGGCGAGCCTCCCACCAAGGCGGTGAGTTTCTGCGGAGGCATGGCCGAACTCTACGAGGGACCACGTCTGTGTCTCTGTCTCTCTAAGCTTTCTGTCTTTCGCAGGGCGTGTGCGGGTCGGCAATTCAGGCAGCATGGGGCAGTCCAGAGGATTCCTTCCCTAAACCCTGAACCCTAAACCAGACCCTAAACCCAAAACCCTAAACCCTACTTCACGACTTGGCTCCTAGGCGTCGCACTTCGGCCGTTTCAGCACACGCCACTGCCTTCGACTCTTCGAGATTGGGGGTTTACGATTTTGGGGTTTGGGTTTGGGGTTTAGGGTTTCGGGTTTAGGGTACCTTATTGGGGTCCCTGAAAACCCCCAGATTTTCTTGTATCCTTCAAGCGTCGGCGAGGGCATCAGATCTGCGAGTAGATTCGCCCAGAGCTCTTCTTCTTCTCAGGTGTACGAGGTGTCGCCTGTCGTTGGCATGAATGGGATCGCTTTTCTGCATGGCCAATATGTAGGGATTTCCTGCTCCCGGACGCCCGAAACCCTCGCTAACATCTTGCCCTATGGCGTGACGCTGTCTGGTGTTTGTCGTCTTACCTCGGACCCCTAAACCCTAAACCCTAAACCCTAAACCCCAAACCCCAAACCCCAAACCCTAAACCCATGCGATGGGAGACTTCGGGACAGTTCCACATGAGACTTCGGCACCTGGCGGAAGGCGTCCAGCTCCTTGTGTAGCAGGGCAGTGGCCACCAGCTCATTGTCGCAGTACTCTAAGAGGCCTGGCACGAATACTCCGCAAAATGACCCAGAACTCCACCATGGCACTTTCACCGTTGTAAGGGCTTGTTTCGGCCTAGGCTCGAGAGCTTCTAGTCATTCTAGTCCCTGTATTGTTTACGGTTTGGGTTCGCAGGGTAGCCTTTATGGGATTTTCCCCCTTCCACTAACAGTCCTTGATCGGGATTATAGTACCGGGGGGCCCCGGACCCCCTATTCAATCCCTATTAAGGCCAGTTCGTATGAGGGGGAGCATCCCAAAGGGCAGCATTCCCTTTCAGCAAGCCCATTGCCCTTGCCTTTGAGGATGAAGACGCGGAGCAAGGCGCGCAACTCGCCTGGGTTTAGGGTTTAGGGTTTAGGGTTTAGGGTTTAGGGTTTAGGGTTTAGGGTTTAGGGTTTAGGGTTTAGGGTTTAGGAAAACCCAAACCCAAACTCTCTTCCAGCTGGGGGGCTGTACCCAACTTGTGCTCCACTTTGAAGAATCCCCTCCCCTCCCCTCCTTTCCCCTCCCACCCACAAAAACCAAAAGGGATCTCACATTAGAAGAAACCCCTCCCCCCGCCCCCCCCCCCCCTGCTGCTGCAACAAAAGCAGCAGCAGCTCCTATTCACAGGTCCAGCCACCAAGGCTGCGCTTGCAGCAGCTCTGCAGTGCCTCCAAAGAAAGTCTTCTTGCCAGGCTGCCCAGTATTCTGGGTTTCAAAAGGGTGCCCTCTGTTGCTCAAAGGGGTGGTTTAGGTTTTAGGGTTTTAGGGTTTAGGTTTTAGGGTTTAGGGTGTATGAGGGAACCTAGGAATAAGGGTGCTACTGGGCATCCTAGCTTGTCTGCGCGGAGAGGGAAGGCTTTTCGACTTCCGGGCCAAGAAAAGCAGGATCCAAGCAAGTTGTGCGAGGCCATGGGCCTATAGTAGAAGCCAAAAAGTCGAAAACTCAATGGCCTCACTCCCTAAGAGTAAAGTCTAGGGAGTCCCAGCACTATGTGTCCTTAACAAGGTTTCCAACTTTTTGGGGTTTACTGTACAGAGCGACAGCCACACATCCAAGACATCACGGCATTGTGAAAGCAGGGCTTCAGGGGTTCAAGCTTGGGACTGCGGGTGTTTAAAGGGCTTCGGAGGTTGAGTGAGGGATACATGGGTTCATGAGCAGAGGTTGCTCAAACAACTAGGCAAACACGCCATATGTGGACACCTCGCACGCCCTTCCTGAAAACAGAAGTGGCAAGTTTCCAGTTGCTCCGACCTCCCGCATTTCAAAGCACTCAACTCCCGACTCCTTCCAACTCCTATACCCTGCAGTGTCAGCCTCTGCTCCACCGGCCACGCCCCCATGCAGCGAGGGAGCAAGGCCTCCGACCAACTTTTTTTCGTGGGGCCGGGCTTCATGTCCCCCCCCCCCCCCCCCCCCGACTTCCTGCATAGGGGTCCGAGTATGACTCCCTTGACCTGCAACTTAAAAAGGCTCAAAGCGACTCATCTCCGCTCACAGCTTCCGCTCGCCTGCTGCAAGGAGCGACTTCAATCCAAATTCCATCTCAGTCGAAGCCTGGCGAAAGCAGGAGCTAACCATGTCCCTAACAGGCGTCTTAAGAACCTGACCTTGGGATGTTTAAGTCCTTAATACAGATTACCCTAAACCCAAAACCCAAAACCCTAAACCCTAAGCCCTAAGCCCGAAACCCTAAACCCCTAAACCCTAAACCCATAGTAGGGGATACTATGTTCCCATTCAGGACTGTGAGTGTAAGGGGGAACATCCAAAACCTGACCTCCCTAACCCCTCCACCCCAACAAGAAACCCTCCAACCCTGAAGTCCTCGTTCCCACAATCCCCCCAAAAATGTGTATATACATATATATATATATATGTGTATACATACATAGATATATATATATATATATATGTATATATATATATATACATGTATATATATATATATATATATATAATATCGCCACCCGGATTACACCCCCAAACCCTAAACCCTATAACCCTAACCCCTCTCTTCCCTACCTGTGGGATGATCCCAGCACCCTCCGCCCAACCCAAGAAGCCGCTTGGAGGCTCCTGGTTTCGGCTCTCCGTGTAAGGGTTGAAGGTTTAGGGTTTGGGGTTTAGGGCTTAGGGTTTAGGGGTTGGGTTTAGGATTGAGGGGGTTGGGGTTCAGGGCTTAGGGTCTAGGGTTTGGGGTTTGGTTTCGGGTTTAGGGGTTAGGGTTTTGGGGTTTAGGGTTTTGGGGTTTGGGGTTTGGGGTTTACGGTTTAGGGTTTAGGGCTTAGCGTGTAGGGTTAAGGGGGTTCTTTGGGGTGTTTGGGGGCCTTTGGCTTTAGGATCTTCGTGTCTAGGAGGGTGCGTCCTACGTTTCCTGGGGTTTAGGGCATGGGGGTTTGGGGGGGGGGGGTTGGGAACATCCATGTTGGGAATATCCATGTTGGGAATATCCATGTTCACCCTGTATCCTAAACCCTAAACCCTAAACCCTGAACCCTTAACCCTAAACCCTACACCCTATAAACCCTAAACCCTCAACCCTAAACCCTCAAACCCTAAAACCCTCAACCCTAAACCCTAAACCATCAACCCTAAACCCTAAACCCTAAAACCTTAACCCTATAAACCCTAAACCCTAAAACCTTAACCCTGTAAACCCTAAACCCTAAACCCTAAACCCTATAAACCCTGAACCCTACACCCTACACCCTAAACCCTCAACCCTCAACCCTAAACCATCACCGCCTCAGCCCTCGACCCTTACCATGGAGCCACTGTCTTCGGCAAATTTTGTATTCAACCTGCGACCTCACTACCCGGACAAGAAAAAGGCTCGAAGATCTGTGCTTTCCTTCTGAATTCTGAGGTTTCGGGGCCCAACGCATACACAGGGACATAAGGCCATGCTAGCCCCAAACAATGCCCTCAAAGATCCTCACAAAGAAGCAAAAAAGACCTAGAAACATGGTCTAGACAACTTTTTGGTTTTCCTGCCTTTCAAAACAAGGCTCCCGCCTAGGCGAAACATTCATTTTCAATAAAAAGCGCCCGCCCTTCGAGGGATCAGTGGCGTGTTTTCCTGGTCCCGAAAACCGGACTTAGTAAAAAACCTCGGTTTTTTGCACTTTTCAACTACGTTTTTTCGGGCAAGGGTCCACTGGCTTGGTGTTGACACGCAGTCGAGACCCTCATAACATGATGTTGCCCTTGACTCATGTCTCTTGTCTGACTAGTGTTTTGGCCCTCTGTGCTCACCAAGACTGTGCTATAACTTGGGATGTTCCCCCTTATACTAACAGTCCTTAATGGGGATCAAGTACCCCCTGTTATAATCCCTATTCTGGACGGTTAGTACAAGGGGGTACTTCCCAAGTTATAGATCCTCATGCTTGTGTCTGCATGCTTTAGCCTGGTTGACTTACCTAGCAATGAAAATGAAAAGGTGAAAGGCTAGGGCCCAGGACTGCTGCATTCCCCTCCGACGCATCTTACCTGCCTAGCTCCTGGCTTCTGACAAGATCGTAATGAAGTTTCTCGGCTTCTCCTGCCTGCTTTTGCTGACTCCTTGTGGCCTTTGACTATGCTCCGCTTCGAAGCGGAGCAGAAATAACTTTAATGTTCCCTTGCGTTTAATAAAAATAAAACAATTCTTAATGGGGCTATGGTTGACTTGTTTCTGTTGTTGCCAGGCTTCGAGGCATTTCTTCGGTGAACTTTACATGACATCCGTCGCTTCTGCGCAGCTCGGGGGTGCAGCATCAAGTGCAACAAACAGTGCTCTCAGTGTATCAGACACTGGCCGTAGACCGATGACTGCTGCAATCTCACCGCACTAGCCCTAGATCCTAACTAGGATTTCAAGGGTGGACGCCCGGATAAGTTCGGCGTTGACAGGACAAACCCGAAGCTATACTTGTCACGGCCTTGCCACAAACACCCCAATGCCGAACAAGGACCCGTCCCGTCCTTCAAGAGCACAACGATTTGCTTGTTGAGCGTTGGCTTGGACAGGTCGTAGATGTCTTTCTGACATGCCTTGGCCGACATCGCGAGAGCGGGGCATTTCCACCGGCCAACAGCAGTAGCCGTGATCTTGGCTAATCGCACGACATCGAAACCGGCGGCGGATAACAGTCTGCACACATCAGCCTTCCTTGCACGCTTCTTGCGAAGTGACATTCCTGTTCCTGCACGAGTGTCAGAAGTCCTGCAAAGCTCATGTACTCATGCATCCAAACAACACCTACAGAATGCACCTAAACCCTTAAACCCTAAACCCTAAAAATAGAATGCCCTTTTGCCAGCCCAAGGCTCATAGAGGAGGACGGCCTGCTGCGCATCGGAGAAGCTCCATCCACGCTGGCGCAGCCGCTCTTGGACCTGGCGGAGACTGGGAGACCCTAGGGTTTAGGGTTTCATCGGTCATTACAGCCCGTCAACATGTCGTTGTGTCATGGTCTTTGTGTTCTGTATGCTGACATTAGGATTTCAACTGGCCGTGGCCACATACGCTGGTGTATTCAAAATAGCCCTGCGAGTGTAAGACTTGCATCGACTAGTCACTAGAAGCAAGCAACAATTCAAGCCCGATCGCTCATCATGAATCACAGCGTGTGCCTCGAAGCACTGCTTTGCAGAGTCTTAGAGATACTATGTCTCCAGAAGCGCTGTAGATGCACACAAGCGTGAAGATGTGTGAAGTGTACGCGTGATCCATGACCATGCAGGATTGCGCAATGCTGATCTCGCCGAATTGAGTCGAATTCAGGGCTGGCAACCCGAAGTAATTGACAGAAGTCAACAAGTAGTCGAACTACAGAACAATGCCACCTCATTGAGAGTCGGCTCGATCCTGTCTGCGTACAGTCCCTCGATCACCTGGGATTTCAGTCTTGGTAGCCTAGTAACCATATTATCATAAGGGCATTTTTTGGGGGGTTGGTTACTTTACAAGGGAACATTGAACAAAAAAAGGGAATAGCGTACCACTGGGCTAGCAAGGAGTAAAACATGAGTCAGTCAGCATTTGCATACCTGCTGGCCACCCAAGTTGGCACTGGAACATGCCAATCCAGCAAGTACCATCGAAGGCGTCCCCGAACACTAAACCCTGAACCCAGGTGCAATCCTGAACCCTAAACCTTAAACCCTAAATCCTTATACATATCATAAACCCTAAACCCTAAAGACATCTGCCAACCTTTCTCAACCGGCTGCCGATTGGCCTGTCGCATTGTCGCAAGTTGCGCCGATGCAATCGATTCGCGGAGGTTCCTTCTCCGCAGGCGCCAGGTTTCAGAAGGGGAGGTGATTCATTCAACCCTCCGAACCAGGACGGGCCATTGTACCCTGTAACCCCCTAGAAAGGCCCTTTATAGGGTTATTATGGGGAGTTTATTAGGGCTTAAGAGCCCCTCCTGGAAATTAAGCGCGTAAGCACATGAACTTAAACCCGGTTGGGCACATGATCCATGACCATGTCAAAAACACGGTATACAACCGGGCGCTGACTTTCTTGTATCTGCCTCGAGCTGGGACATGCCCCAAACAAAAGTAGCCTCCGTCGGTAGCACACACAACCAGGCAGAAGTCTGGGAAAGAGTTCCGCCAAACTTTAAGGCCGAAGGCCGAGGCTGCGCATCTCGAACTATACTTCAGAGAGACACATGCCAGACCCAAGAGTAATCTATGAATAAAATGGGTGCAGCCGCAATTCATGGATGACAAAGGGGGGGGGGAGGGGGGGGGCGGAATCGGGGGTGGGGGGGAGGAGGGGAGGAGGGGGGGGAGGGGAGGAGGCGGGGTAGGGGAGGGGGGGAGGGGAAGGGGGGGCGGAATATAGAAGCCCTGTGAGAATCCCTACTGTGTTAAGGATTGCCAGTATAAGGGGAACATCCCAAGCTTGGTTAAGCACCACGCTAATGCAATACAAGCGCCATGGTGCGATATGCAGGGTTGCGTGAGCCTGACCCTATCAAAGAGGTGAGGCGGCCTGCTTTTCCCTAACCTCCTTCAACCCGTTCGAGGCCAAGCAGAGAAGCTATGTACAAGATGCACATGAACTGCATATACAATGCCTCTACATGTACAGTATGTGTGGTAAAGTATCTTCCCTGCGCCCTAAGATTAACCCCCCCTACCCCCTAATCCCCTAATATTCAATACCCCCCCCGCCTTGTAGTCAGATTTAGGTTAAAGTTTAATATATTGGGGGGGGGGGGGGGTGTTTAACATTACGGGGTTGGGGGGGTTAATATTCGGGGGAGGGGAGTATACGTGACTTTTCAACTCCTTCTCTCGGCCTGCTGGCTTCCTCTTCGCAGAACCCTCGCTGAGGCAGCCTCTCGTACCATGGCTCGAAGCCTTCCGGCGAGGGTCACAGCAAAACTGAGGGTTTAGGGTTTAGGGTTTAGGACGTAAAACAGGATAAGGGTGGAGGGTGGAGGGTCGACGATTCTTTAGGAAAGCCTAAGAGTTTTCCATGGACCCAGAGGCAAACATCTGCAACATTCCGCAACGCGTTATCTATACTCCTTAGAACCTTAGTAAAAAAAAACAGCATTTTTTCATATTGACTTGGATATTATATAACCAAAGCTAAAAAACACCTAAGGGGCTATAGTTATCTTCGCACGCACCTGCAGGCGGTTTGCGAAGGAGGATACATGGAGCATTGCCACACATCGGTGGAACCAGCAGGAAGAGTTCGGGCTTCGAAGCACAAACCTCAGTTGAGGTAGTAGGGCCAGTAGGGGTACCAGTCGCTCTCTATTTGCCCTAAACCCTAAAGCCTGAAGCCTAAACCCTAACCCTGTTCTCTATGTAAGTGTGTCGTAGGATGTTCGGAATCCAAGGAAGCAGCCGCACTTAGAGAAGCACTTGTTTCGGAAGCGCCGGCCGGCAAGTCTCGTGCTACATCTTGCAAACTGAGCTGCTCCACGAGCTGTGAGCTACACTCCTCAATTTTCGAGCTCGCGCTCCTGATTCTGCACATTTTATTAAGCTAAGAAGACCATGAATAAGCAAAACCTCAGATGCAAAAACAAAGTAAGTGAACAACATCTTTCACACGTATACACTAACGTGAACGAAGGACAAATAACAGACAAGCAAGAAAACAATAAACGAGCGAACATAACGAATAATGAACATGCATTACTATAAACTGCACTACAGATATGAATGCACATGTGAACATGCATCTTATGCTACCATATGCTCAGTGTGTGTATCAAGTTTTGCTCGTATACTTCTTATCACCATACCATGCCCATCACGGCCCGAATTAGGTATGCCTATAATATATATATATATATATGTATCCTTACGGGATTATATAGGGTACCTCATTCCATCATTCCGTACTAAGAACCAGTATGACGAACCCACGATTTTGGCTGGAGGCGGCTGCAATGCTGCGCACTTCTTGTGGCGTGAAGGGCCCAGTGATGGAACGATGGGCACGAAGCAGCTTCTGCACCTCTGCAAGATTTGTGGGGTTTAGCGTTTAGGGTTTAGGGTTTCGATTTTAGGGTCACCAGGCGTGTGCTGAGCTGCCAAGCCTCTTGATGCAACAGCTGCGGGAGGAACAACCAAAACAAACTAGCAGTCATGAGATCCCTGGCAGAACCTGGCTGGCTGCTTCTCAGTAGGGAATGAGGTACTACATAATCCCTTAAAAAGCATTTACAGGGCCCTTATTCCCTCATTCCCTACTAAGAACCAAAAGATAACACCTGCAGATGTCGTGCCCAAGGCCACCCTAGCCAGAGACCTACCTACATGGGCTATTATACCCTAAACCCTAAACCCTAAACCCTAAAACCCCTCAAAAAAGCCCTTGATAGGGTTGCTTAGGGGATTATAAGGCCTGACAGCCCATGCTGGTACAGCAACACCGGCCCGAAGCCTCAAAGCAATGCACCACTCGCTTTAGGGTTTAGGGTTTAGGGTTTAGGGTTTGGGGTTTAGGGTTTGGGGTTTAGGGTTTAGGGACCGGGGAACGCTCTTGCCTGATACGAGGAATTCAGAGCCTGGAGGTGTTTCCGTAGCAGAACCCACGTACCCTGAACACTGAGGCATTCAATCCCATACTACCAAATCCACCAGGCCCCAACCACAAAATCCTGACACACCAAACCTTCAACTCCTGCAAAGGTGTTGCCAGACTAGGCCTCGCCCAAGAATGGCTTCTGCTTGTCCCTGGCGGCTGGCTTGTCACTGTGACAACTCGGAGGTAAGGCTAGCATGTGTCGAATCTCGAAAGCTGCAGCAAGATTCAAGGTTTGTCGGGGGCCTTTGGGCTTTGCCAAGCATCTTTCCAACGCGCTGTCGCGATGCCAAGAAGTCATGGGGCTGATCATGTTTTTTTCATGCAAGCCCAGCTGGCAAGCAGTGCCTGTAGAGACGCTCGATGCAGGCCAAGATCGCATCATGCAGACCTCAGCAAGCAGGGCATCTGCTGTGCGAAGTGCCGAGGCTCTCCCCAAGCCAAGCCAACTTGCAACTTAAGCCCTACCTCAAGCCCTAGAATATTTATGGCTTAGGATTTAGGGTTTAGGGTCTTTTGAGGGCTTCGGGCTGCCCTTTTCTTCTCCTACTCTGGGTGGTCCAGGTATAAGACCAAAATGAAAAGCGGATGCGAACAAACTTCCACATCCCAAGGGCTGCTCAACTTCTGCGGATTCTGCGTGAGGCTCTTGGGCAGGGGAAGTTTGCCTTGGCGTGAGAGGTTCAGGCTTTAGGCTTCGAGGTTGATGGGTAGTTAGAAGTGGGGTTGTAAGTAGGGTAGCTATATGATTCTTAACTGGTTATAACCTGATTCAGGGACATTCAGGGTACTTATAACCTCCTCCAAGTGGGGCTTTGTTTTATCTGCGGGAGCTTTGGCACATTGCGAGGTTCTCTCCCTAAACCCAGCTGCTTGACATGCCGAGCAACGGCACTTGGTGTGAAAGCGCTCGAGGTCAACCAAGTCTGACATTCCGACAAGGGGCCTTCATTCGCTTGCAGGCACAACAACGCATACACACACACACCTGGGTTGTGCTTTAAACACTTTGAAATTTTTTTATGAATAGGTTCCCCTAAAAGGAAAGAAGTGAAATTAAAAATAACCCAGACATATACGTTTTAGCAATGATGCAGCAATCGTTGGGGCACTCTCGGCCTTAAGTTTCCTGAAGCCCTTGGGACTTCGCGCTCTATCGGCCCAAACAGAGCAAGGGAACCTTAAACCCTAAACTCTAAACCCTTATAACCGTGAACAACACTAAACCCTGAACCCTAAACCCGACTCAAACCCTAAACACTAAGGCCGGAGCCAGCGAGCTTCGGGTGCCAGGGAGTTGGGCGATCCAGCTGCTCAGGATCAAATTCCGGCTGCGGGCAGGGGCGCGGGCAAAGTGTGTCGAGATCCGGATCGCTTTAAGACAACCCTAAACCCTAAACCCTAAACCCTAAACCCTAAACCTTCAAGGCACTAACAGTTGGAACAGTTCGAGCGCCCTTAACCCTGAACCCTTAGGATGGTTTAACCCCCCGCAATCGCAAGCTGGAGTTGCTCTGGCCCAACAACTAGGATGCCCAAAAACCTCGGATTAAAAGGGCGCCCCTTGCTGCTTAAAAAGGGTTTAACCAAGGGAACCGAAGCCCCCCAACAAAGGGAATAAGTGTACTACTGGGCATCCTCGAGAAGGTCCGGTCTTGGTTTCGCTGGTCTGTTGCAGGACCCTAAACCCTAAACCTTAAACCCTAAACCCTAGATCCTCCACCCTAAACCCTAAACCCCAAACCTCTCCTACCACATAATTATAAATCTTAATGGCATTCGAGGGCATAGGCCTGCTTTTTCGTGGGCATAGGCCCGGGGCTTCGTGGGCATAGGCCCGGCCTTGAGACCCTAAACCCTTGAGACCCCAAACCCTTGAGACCCTAAACCCTTGAGACCCTAAACCCTTGCGAGCCCTATTAGTTTTGTTGTTGAGCCATCCTAATAATAAGAAGAAGCTTTGTATTTCTTAACGTTGTGGGAACTTCGGGTGGGTGGGTGTTCTTCGATGTTCTAAACGACGAGCCTAAACGAGAAACTGCTCGACCAGGAGCTCTTGAACCCTAAGCCCTAAGCCCTAAGCCCTAAACCCTAAACCCTAAGCCCTAAACCCTGCCATTGAACTGCCGTCACTGTGGCCCGCGCGCATAGGCATCTGACCAGACGAGATGACCACTTCGCAGTCCTGCTCGGGGTTTAGGGTTTAGGGTTTAGGGTTTAGGGTTTAGGGTTTAGGGTTTAGCTAGGGCTGTTAAGGGGCATAAGGAGGGAATTCTAGAAGGAACCTCAATCTTATTCCCCTATATATCCCCTATATTTACCTTACATAGTCCCAGTATACCTCATTAGCGCCTAAAGAACCCCTAAATAAACCCCAAAGCCCCATCCCTCCTTTAGACTCTTGAAAAACGTTCGTGGTGCCCTGCCCTGGTTGAGGGCCTCTTGGGCCTTGGGCTTTATGGTTTAGGGGCTGCTGGCCGGGGAGGAGGGGCAAGGGTCTACTGGCTTTCGCTGCGCCTTGGTTTAGCGCCTACTGGGCCTTGCGCTTGAGGATTTGGGGGCTATTGGGCCTTGGGCTTTAGGATTTAAGGGCTACTGGGCCTTGGGCTTTGTGGTTTGAAAGCTGGCTTGAGATGTGAATGGGCGTGTGGGTCTCCATTACTTGACAAGCTGCTTGACTGGTGATGCTTGGACTTGAGATGCTGAGCCTTGAACCCTAAACCCGAACCTCCCAACCACACCACAGGGCGCCCGGGGGGGGAGGGGGGAGAAAACCGTAAACCCTAAACCCGAGACCTCAGGAGGTGGGGATGCCACGCGGGGCGGCGGGTGGGTGTATAAGTATATGGAGATGTACTGAACATGTACATATATGCATATCCACGAAAGACGGATCGATAAGCGACATTGAAACACTGATGTATGCTGCACCGTCTTAGCATCGGACATGTCCGTTGGCCCGTGGTCGGGGCTTTGTTTGGCAGCCCCGGGGTTCTCCGAAGTCCTAGCTGTCCAGTAGTTAGGGGAACTGAAGGTTAAGCTTTGGGAATATAAGGGGTTTCTATTACCCCCTAAACCCTAAACCCTAAACCCTAAACCCTAAACCCTAAACCCTAAACCCTAAACCCTAAACCCTAAACCCTAAACCCTAAACCCTTGAAGGTTCCCTACTCTACAACTAAGAAGTCCTTGCCCCGCACGTAGTACTGGTAGATCTTCATGAGGTCGCAAAGCAGCCACTGGGAAGCGGAAGGTCTTCGTTGCTTTGAGGCGATCGGCTTCTTCTTCGTTCTTGTGGCCCCGTGAGGAGGGCTTCGACTAACGTAGGCATTTGCTTCAGCTGTTCCCCCCCCCCCTCCTCCCCCGCGCCTAGCCCAAACCCTAAGACCCCAACCTGCAGCGTGTTGCGAGCAATGAGCTCTGCAACCCTCCCATAAACCCCAAACCCTAAGCCCTTAGCCCTAAACCCTAAACCCTAAACCCTAAACCCTAGACCCTAGACCTTAATTAAACCCTAACCTCCAAAAAGCTAAAACCTCCCGCAGGCCATGTAACACTAAATCCAAGTGCAGGATTTAGGCTACTCCCTCAAAGCCCAGCAAACCCCAAGCACTGAATCCTGGGCGAATATAGGGGCCTGAATAATTAGAATCGGGTATTGGGGCTTATCATAGTGTGATTACAAGGGACCCTAAGGGAATATTCGTTGTTTATTCCGACCCTATATTCGGTGGGCCTTGTAAACCCTCTTTAAACATGATGATATGTGATGCTCATGATTAAACCGGGGGGGGGGGGGGGGGTGGGGGGGGGGGGGTGGGGGGGGGGGTGGGTGGGGGGGGGGGGGGTGGGGTGGGGGGGGGGGTGTGGGGGTGGGGGTGGGGGGGGTGGGGGGGGGCGGGGGTGGGGGGGGGGGTGGGCGGGGTGGCGGGTGGGTGGGGGGGGGGGGGGAGCGGGGGGGGGAGCGGGGTGGGGGGGGGGTGGGGGGGCGGGGGGGGGTGGGGTTGGGGGGGGGGGTGGGGGGGAGGGGGATGGGTTCGGGGGGGCTGGAGGGGGGGTGGGGCTAACCATATTACAATAAGGGCACCCCCTTTAACTCCAAGGGAAATGAGCCTGGGTCTTATAAGCCCTAACCTGGCAGGTCTTGAGAAGCTTGGCGTGGGGCCAGGGAGATGAAGATCGTGAGAACCAGGATCACGCCCGCGTGACCCGAGCACAGGAAGGCAACTAGCCCCGCCTCAATATACATGGGAACATGTACGTGTGAATGCAAGCATGCACGCAGGCGTGCGTGAGCGTCAGTGTGATTGAGTGTGATTGAGTGTGATTGTGCGTGATTGTGTGTGTGTGTGTGTGTGATTGTGTGTGATTGTGTGTGATTGTGTGTGTGTGTGTGTTTCGTTAACTACCGCCTGCAGCTGCTAAACTATCAAACCCTAAAAATCTACAAGAATATCCTCTATACACCCCTGTAATGGACTATACAGGCTACCCCTGTGATTCCCTATGAAGGGCCTGTTGGCCCCCCTTGGCGACTGTCAGATTGCGCAAGATGCCAACACCAACTCATTTTGTGAGCTGCGAAAAAAACCAAATCGTTCAGATTTACTTAAGGCAACCCACCAAAAGAAGGTTGAAATCTGAACCCGAAAGTGCAGCCCCTGCCCACCCTAACCCTAAACCCTAAAACCCCCCCCCCCCCCCCCCCCCCCTTAACCCCCCCCCACCCCACCAGCTCAGGCCCGGTGCTGTGACAATTGCAACACACACGACCGTGTCCATGCCAGAAGGCACGACATGCCTGTGGAGGGTGTCATCATTGGTGGCTGCGACATTGAAGTTGAGGGTTTCTGTTTTTAGGGTTTAGGGTTTAGGGTTTAGGGTTTAGGGTTTAGGGTTTAGGGTTTAGGGAACCTCAGGGTTTGTAGCATTGTGGGCTATAGGGGCTCCCTTGCAGCAGCTCAAAGACATCATGCATAGGAAGCCCTCTTCTGCACACCTCGACTTTCTATGGCCACGGAGACCCTGTCAACAACAAAACACAACCTGGCGAATGGAATGATCCCGACGACTCAAAGTCAACAGGCAGGCAGGGCTTCTGCTCCGTCTGCATTTCCAGGCGCAAGGAACCACCGCCTTGCATGATACTGCAGTGCTGTGCTTGCATGGCCTGATAACTCATGCGTGCCATGCATTGCGATACGGGAGGGGGGGGAGTCTACATAGGAACCGCCAGGCTTAAAAACAAACCCGCAACGCAGCATAATCGGCAAGAGTCACTTCCAGTCACCACAATGCTGGAAACAATCACAGGCTTTGCACGGGCAGAGACCCGAACAAGAGTTTTCATGCTTCGAAGGCTTGCTGTGATACATGGGGGGGGGGGGGGCGGGGGTTACGAGACTACGGGACCCCTCATCTAGCCCCCTAAATAGTAGGACCCCCTTATAAGAAGGTACCCCCCCAAATTTCGAAAACCCCCACATGTTGATTGCACGCAGTATGAGCCAGTGCTGGCGGACCTGCAAAGCCGCGTGTAGTTGGTGTAGTTCAGTACCTTCGGGCTTCTCACT